GGCGGGGGAGGGGGGAAGAAATGGGGAGCTGATATCAGGGGCTCAAGTGGGAAGAGAATGCTTTGAAAATGATGATGGTGGCATATGTGCAAATGTGCTCGACACATTGGAGGAATGTATGGATTGTGATAAGAGATGTAAGAGCCCCCAATAAAAGTATAGGCTACAAGCACGGCTACTGAAGGCTTACAGCACCTACTGAAGCAGATTATCATACCTGTTAGGTCTTGCGCATTGAGTACATTCTCTTGTTGGACTTCTGGAATACTTGTATACTGCCATGAAAAATTAGAAAGAAAAATCTTAGTTTTCAGAACTTACCCTAACAATTTTGAAGAGATAATAATCCAAACTTTAGGCCTGAATTCCCCATAGGTAGCTTTGTTTGGGTTTTTTATCTTTTAGCTTTCCTAATAAATGTTTTATTCATTTAAACACACACATCATGACTCAATTGTTAACTATGTGTATTCTAGGGAATGAAAGAAAAATATTGGGAGATCCACACCCCTAAACTGTCTCTTCAGTTCTACCACACAGGTGACATCTGAAACTTGGCTCCTCGTTTTCAGTATAAATCTCTCTGTTTCCACAAAATTGCATACATCACCTTTCTAAAATAAAATTCTGATTTTCACTGTCTTCTGCTTAAAACCTTAAAAATTTCATTTTGCAATCAATAATGTGATAACTGACTCAGGCAAAGATCATCAATCACTCACTTACTCTCACTGTCATCGAGTCGATACTCATAAGGACCCTGTAAGCCAGAGCAGAACTGCCCCTGTGAGTTTCTGAGACTGCGTAACTTTTAATGGGAGTAGGAAGGCCCGTCTTTCCCCCTTGGAGCGGCTGGTGGTTTCCGATGGCTGACGTGATTAGCCGCCCAACTCATAACCAATAAAGATCGATAGATGCTAAAATTATTGTGTGAAAGATGACTGAGTCTCATTGGACTTATTCACACAAAGTGGAAGAGATGCCTTTCCAATAGAGAAATTTACTTTCCTAACCAAAAAGATTATTCAGCACAGCAATGGTGTGGCAAAGTAATACGATCTATCTACTAATGTGATGTAAATGGAAGGACATATCATGACCTGTGTAGCAATCTTGCCCAAACTGTTTAAACTGAATCTAATAATGAGGAAGTCATTTAAAAGTTCAAATTGTAAAGCAGCCTTGACTCATCTAAAATATTAAGTTCACAAAAGAAAAAAAAAGAACTGCATGATCCATAATATTATCAAATCAATGTTAAATTTCATACAACAAATTTATTCCAAAAGACATACTTCATATGGTCACTTCTCTGCAGAATGTGTGTTTTCAATGAGGTCAAAGCTAGAGTACAGAGGGGTTTAAAGTTAGTATCTGCTGTTTACTTTCATATGGTTCATTTTCTTTTTTAAAGTACCTACCTAAAAAGAGATAGAGTATCTACCTATAATAGAGCAGATAGATACTTTTAAAAACATATACCATTTGAAAGAAAGCAGATATGTATTCATCCCTAATTACTTCAGCTTTTATCTCATAATTACAAGGGTGTTACACAGTAGTGATAATACTATTATCACACTGAAGTAATTTAACAGTAACCCAATAACATTATATAGTAAGCCCCAGTGACAGTGGTTAAAAGGTCCAGCTGCTAACCAAGTTTGGTGGTTCAAATCCATCAGCCACTCCTCAAGGATTTATGGCTTTGGAAACACTATGAAGCAATCCTACTCTCCTTACAGTGTTGCTATGAGTCAGAATCATCTTGATGGCAATGAACTTACTGGTTAGTTTTTTCATCCACAGATCTATCTATTGAGATAAGAGTGAGAGAAAGAGAGAAAAACATAATGTGACCATGGATGAATGCAAGTAAAGGACATAAGAGAGTACCTACCCTGCACCACTGTTACAACTTTTCTCTAAGTTTGCAATTCTTTTATAAAAAGGAAAATAAGAGAAGTTGAGGAGAAAATATCACATTCTGGATACAAACTCATTAGCAAGTAATAAAAAACCTATTATGCTCTGTCCCCTGGCTACCTTTCTAACTGTATTCCTAACTATTCTTCTTTTAGATTCCACTCATAATTATTTTCAGGTCCCAGAGCATGTTATGCTACCTCACACCTTGCTAGCGCATGCTCACTCTTCAGCCAAGATCAGGTATTCTCTCAATCCTGGATGCTAATGGGAACCCCTGAGAAGCTTCAAAAAACATTTCTAGGTTTGGGACCTATTACCTATTACCAGAGACTGACTAAATTGAAAGCGGCTGAGGCGCACTCCTATGGACTCTTGTGCAAACTTTTCTCACACTTGGCACCTACCACACTGAGTGCAAACAGGCATATACTCATCTCTTCTTGAAGCATTGTATCCTCAGTACCTTCCACAGTGTCACACATACAGACATAACATCTCAATAAAGGCATGCATGCTCTGTAAATGAACTCCTCAGATTTGAGATCTCAGAAACAAAAGGTGAGTCCTCTGTGCATAAAACTATTCCTTTCTTCAAAGCTTTTACAAAAAAGCTTGGTATTAGCTGATTTATCTCTATGCTCCAGAGACAAAAGCACATTTAAAATTCTATCATAATAAATTCTTGCTAAGGTAAAGTTAGATAGAAAGCAAATCACTGGTTGCCAGAGACTATGGGTGGGCACTGGGAGTATCCAGGGGTAATGCGACTGTTCATTATTTGATTGTGGTGGTGGTGATGTGACTGTATGATTACCAAAACATAAAAAAGGTACGTGTAAATTAAACATTACTTTTTGTTAAATGGGGGAAAACTCCTAACCATCCCTTGTTATATTTTACAATCTTTTACCTCTGGTTCACGGAGCGTAGGCACACTGTCTCCACTGGAAAGCTTTGTCAGGGGCTCTTTAACAGGACTCTCACCAAGACCCCTACCCAGAACAATCATGTGGGTTCTTGTCTCTGAAGAAACTATTGGAGCAACCGACAATCTCTGAACCTCTTGAGGCTCTTCTTCTTGACCATCATTTCTAAAAGAGAGTTTTGTATGTATTTGAAATCAAGCATACAACCACAGAATAAATGATTTTTAAAAGCCAGTTGCTTCAAAAATCATTTAATTCAATAGTTCTTAAACTTCTAAAATATATTTCATGCACCAGAAGACACTTTTCAATCCAATTCTTATTTTTACAGCTCTGGCTACAGATAAAACAGAATCTCTTCCCTCTTACTTTTCAGTCAGATTGGCTTCTTGTGAAATACTAGTTCCTTCAACAACATGTGCACACGCCAAAGTGTTCTGCTCCTTATTATCTGCTGTTATAATTGATCCAAGGTTCTTATCTTCCAAGTCTGTTCCTTTAACACCATTTTCCTCAGTTTCTTAAACCAAAAAAAAAATTATGTATACATCATGGCCAGTATATACAACATTCCATTTATATGAAATATCTAGGACAAGCAAAACAAATCTAAAAAAACCAATAAGGGGCTGGTGGGTTTGAACCACCATCTCTGCAACTCTTGCCCGACAATGCCCCGGGTTTCCTGAAATAAGTACGCAGAGACCAAATTATCACTGGTTCACTGGGGTGAAAGGGAAGGAGGGTACTCACTGCTTAGGGCACATTGGCCTACTCTAAAGGGTGACGTGAAAAAGTTTAACAGATAATATTTATCACTGGTCACCATGAAAAACATAAAGTAATGTCACTGACTTATACATGTGAAGACTATTGATAAGTCAAGCAATTTGTTACATGTACACTTACTACACCAAGGGGAAAGAGTCTCAAAAGCAAAAACAAGGGAAGAGAGCACACATTTAAGATATACCCCAAAACAGTCCATTATCGAGTGACTCTTCTAACATTCTCTTAATCCAAAAGCAAGTTATCTGTAAGGCAGAAAAGTTGTCCTGGCCAACGAAATTTCTGACAATGAAATAGATGATTAATAAACATAAAATGAACCATTGGTCTACCACAAACATTCAAGCATGTCTTCCACCAACTGTAATCTCACTTCCTGGTGGTGGCATTTTAACTAGAAACCCATCTGCAAAAGTGGTTTACAAGTAGGTACACATGGGGTCTGGTTAGTTCCACATAAAGGAAGTCTTGGAGAAGGACTGGTGAAGGAGCTGTGGTACAAAGAATAATGTCAAAAATAGGAAAATATGACTTCAATATGAAAAAGGTAATCTGAATCTTAACTCAGAAACTGTATCTGACACAGTGCAGGAATTGTGCCTGGTCTGACACCCCAACACCAGGCAAAACACGAAGGGAGCGCAACAGAGCAGCAAGGGGAGCAAAGCAACTAAGCCCCCAAGGAATTCTGAAAACAGACTTTGGACTCAGGGGGCAGGGCTTGGCACTGCATCAGACCCAATCGGAAAACATTCATTAAGGGTCAGCAGACAGACCTGGAACTATTCATAGTCTATTTTTCCTTTTTTATGTCTATCTATATAAGAGGGGCAGGACAAACAAGCCCGAGGAGAAAACAATGGGACCCATGGTGCTGATGGGACAGGGGAGAGGAGGAGGAGGCGGGGAAAAGGGAGAGAGGAGAAAACAAACCCAGGGACAAGGGAACAACAAGAGATCTAAATCTGATGGCAAGGAGGGCATAGACTGCCTGGTGGGGCTGGACCAAGTGCAATGTAACTGAGAGGAAGTACAGAGAGCCGGATGGAGGTCGAACATGACAGTGGGACAGGAAGAAAGTAAAAGGAAATAGAGGGAAAAACTAGGAGGCAAAAGACATTTATGGAGGTACAAACATAGGAATGTACGTATGTAAATATATTAATATAAAACAATATGGATATAGGTCTATGTACATATATTTATAGGTATTAAGGTAGCAGATGGACATTGGGCCTCCACTCAAGTACAGTGAACCCTCGCCACTTCGCGCTTCGACTTCCGCGGCTTCACTCTATCGCGGTTTTTGCGTAACAGCACCCACTGCCTACACCCGCTCCTTCAGAGGAAAAAGACGACGACCCACCTGTAGAGTACATCCCTTAAGTCATTTCATAGGCTACTGATTACAGTATTTGTAAGAACTATGTATAATAATACTGTATGTGAAATATGTAATACTGTAAACTAGATGCCATAAATAATATAATAAATAATAAATGATCATTGTAACGTCCAAAATGTTTTACTGTATTTTCCCTTTTTCGTTTAATAAATTGGGTAATACGAGTGTAATGGTGACTAAAGGGTGTTTTTTCATGTCCTCTATGCTCTAACTACGAAAATATTTGATTTACAAATAAGGAATCCTACTTCGCGGAATGTCATTTATCACGGTAGGGTCTAGAACCAATTAACCGCGATAAACGAGAGTTCACGGTACTCCCTCAATGCAAGAACACGTTGTCCTAATAACCTATCATTCTGTGAGACTCATCTTCCTGACATGATCGCTGAAGACAAAATGGTGCATAAGCAAATGTGGTGAAGAAAGCTGATGGTACCCAGCTATCAAAAGATGTAGCGTCTGGGGTCTTAAAGCCTTAAAGTTAAACAAGCAGCCATCTAGCAGGGAAGCAACGAAGCCCACATGGAAGAAGGACAACAACCTGTGTGTGTGATCACAAGGTGTCAACAGGATCAGGTACCAGGCATCAGAAAGCCAAAAACAAACAACCATTTCGATGTAAACGAGGGGGTCAGAGTGGAGACCCAAAACCCATCTGTAGACGATTGGACATCTCATCACAGAAGGGTCACAAGAAAGATACGAGCTAGCCAGGGTGCAGCATAGCACCGATGAAACATACAACATTCCTCTAGTTCTTTAATGCTTTCTAACTCGCACTATCATAACCCCAATTCTACCTCACAAATCTGGCTAGACCGGAGCATGTACACTGGTACAGATAAGAGCTCTTGACACAGGGAATCCAGGACAGATAAACCCCGCAGGAACAGTAATGAGAGCAGTGATACCATGAGGATAAGGAGAAAGTGGGGGGAGAAGGGGGAACCGATCACAAAGACTGACATACAAGCCCACACCTGCAGGGACAAACGACAGAAGCCTGGGTGAAGGGAGACAGGAAGCGGTAAAAGACGTGGAACATAATAATGTATGACTTACCAATCATAATATATGACTGATCAAGGATTCATGAGCGTGGGAGGGTGGGGAGGAAAGGAGGAGAAAGAAGAGCTGATACCAAGGGCTCAAGTAGAAAGAAAATGGAAATGATGATGGCAACATATGTACAAATGTGCTTGATACAATGGATGTATGAATTGTTATAAGAGCTGTAAGGACCAATAAAATGATTTATTAAAATTTTTAAAAATTTTAAAGAAACAGTATCTGTGTACTGCTCAATACAGTATATGAACTAACTCCATTAGATCAGGAGAGATGAGTGTTTCCAACAAATGATGCTAGGAAAATTGTATTTCGATAAGCAAAACAATGAAACCAAGTCTTTGCATCACACCATACACAAAATCAAATAAATGAAGGAATAGGGACCTAACTGTGCAAACTAAAAACATTAAAATTCCTAGACAAAAATGAAGGAGCAATGCTGTTAAGCTTAATTTTTAACATTGGACTATCTAATATAATAAAAAGTGCAAACAACAAAACAAAATAAACAAATGTGACCTCATAAAATTTAAAACTCTGTTCATCAAAATATTGTTAAAAAAAGTAAAAAGGCAAGCTACCAACTGGGAACGTAACTTCAGAAACCACATAAGCCGACAAAAAAATGTAATCAGGAACATACATACACCTAAAGCTTCAAAACCTTAACAAAAAGACAAATCAATCATAAAATGGGCACAGGAATGGATACACATTGCACCAGAAAGGAAATTCAAATGGCTTTCTAACACACAAAACAATGCTCAGTGTCATTAGTCATCAGAGATGAAATCAACACCAACACTATTTCTCTCCCACTGTTGTTAGGAGCTGGCAAGGTGGTTCCAGCTCAAAGCAGCCCCGAGTACAAGAATGAAATCCCTGACAACTTCAATCTTCCCTGTGTGCCACAAGATTTATCATAACGCCAGTTATCGGCATGGCTCTAAGGATTTTCTCTTTACGTGTAAGTGGTGGTCCTCTCACTAGAACAGAAGAGCTAATTCCACTCTGCCCTCCTACAGGGTTGCTATTAGTCAGAATCAACTCCACAGATGTGGGTTCAGATTTTGGTTTAATAAGACAGCTCAGGAAAAAAACAGGAACAAATAGAATATAAAGAACTTTAGCAACAACAAAAAAAAGAACTTTAGCGAGTATGTGGGAAAACTAAGAGCTCATGTAAACACAAAATAGAAAAGTCACCGTGCAAAACAGTGTTAAAAGTTATCCAATGAACCTGAAAATAAAGCTAACAGATGACCCGACAATTTCATTCCACAAGTTGAAATCAGAGACTCACACAGACCTGTAAACCTGTGTTCATTAAAGCACTACTCACAATAGTCAACAGGGAAAAATAACCTAAATGCCCTTGACAGATGAATAAACAAAATGTAGTACAAACAGGGAATGCCACTCAGCCAGTAAAAGAAAAATTTTTGAGGGTTTCACAAGCACACATGATTTATTTGTTCCTTTTAACTTACAGCTCTGAGTTGTTGGGTTTTTTCATCATTTTATTGGGAGCTTGTACAACTCTTATCACAATGCATACATACAACCATTGTGTCAAGCACATTTGCACATTTGTTGCTACCATCATTCTCAAAACATTTGCTTTCTACTTGAGCCCTTGGTATCAGCTCATTTTCCCCCCTCCCTCCCTGGCCCCCATCCCTCACGAACCCTTGATAATTTATTTATTTATTTTTATGTCTTACACTGTCCGAAGTCTCCTTTTACCCACTTTCCCATTGTCCATCCCTGGCCAGGGGGTGGGGGTGGTGGTGGTGGTGGGGGAGTTATATGGAGATCCTTGTCATGGTTCCCCCTTTCTACCCCACCCTCCCTCTACCGTCCCGGTATTGTCACTCTCACCACTGGTCCTGAGGGGTTCATCTGTCCTGGATTCCCTGTGTGTCCAGTTCCTATCTGTAGCAGTGTATATCCTCTGATCTAGCTGGATTTGTAAACTAGAACTGGGATCATGATAGTAGGGGGGAGGAAGCATTAAAGAACTAGAAGAAAGTTGTATGTTTCATCATTCCTACATTGCACCCTGACTGGCTCATCTCCTCCCCACAACCCTTCTTTAAGGGGATGTCCTGCTGGACATCTCTGCTGCCTACAGATGGACTTTGGGTTCCCACTCCGCACTACCCCTCATTCACAATGACATAATTTTTGGTGCTTTGATGCCTAATACCTGATTCATTCGACACCTCAGAATCACACAGGCTGGTGTGATT